AATAAACTACCGTCATCAGGTCAGCTTAGCATCAGCCTTCTTTTAAGCAAAAGGGAAACCTTTGGAAAGCACAGCACGTTTCAGTCCATTTTCCTTGTTTATAACAATAGTCACTGTTTTTAGTGATTTACCAAATTATAGGTAAGGCACTGAAGTGGCGGTGGTGATTCAGATATGTGCTCCTTTCCCTAATAGTGCCCCTCCCAAATTCTTACCCTACTGCTCTTTTTATCTCTTCTGGGACTACGTGTGAGAATGCTAAGTATGATTCCATCCCCTACAGTGAAAAGCTGCTATAAAGGGGAAGGAGCAATGTAGTTGCAGTTATTTGGAAAATAACTTAGTATTATTTGGAACATGTCAGGCCCTTGAATCATCCAGCACAATATTGTCTACTCCAGTCACAGTGGCCTCAGTTTTTTCCCCCTAGCCCAGCTTTTCTTGATCATGTTAATTCAAGCTGCCAGTATGGAAGTTTATGCACACAGTTTATGCACACAGTGCCTACAAGCCTTCATCAACCTGTTCTCCCTCACAAGTGTTGGGAAGTGCCTGTAATTTCCAGCTAGTGGCCCTGCCCTAAATGGCAAACATGGGAGTTGTATTTCAACACATCTGGAGGGTGCCAGCTTGGAAAAGGCAGTTGTATCCTTTACTGCTGAGCAACAAGGTCTCTTACTAGAACATCATGGAGAACAGAAGTTAGTGGTGGGGGTGCAGGGCAATTTTGGACAAAGCGGAAGTAGGGGAAGGGTTCAGCTATGTACCTTCCCATACTTTCTCCATACTAAACCGAACACTTTGCTTTATTTCTGTTCTGTTTATTTCTGATTATTTAATAATCATTATTCTAAGGCTCAGACTATATGACATATTTAATATGCTACCCATCTTTCTATATTTTTAACTAACTATTCTTTACATTAATTTAATGTGGTTAGAAAAAATAATGGTGAGATTCTTAATGGGAGATGCAGCATATGGGGATAAAAAGCTAATTTGCACCCAAGAACAAAAACTCTCTTCAGTTGGATCTTGGATGCTTAGAACATTCTTGGTGGTTTCAATGCAATGGAAAGTAATTTCCTGAGGCTTCTAGTCACAGGGTGACAGGCAATTTTCATTCTACCTCATTAGCAGGGAAAAATGTGCTTTTTCCATTTTACACACTGAATTTCTCTAAGGATTCCTCCTGTCGCTAAAGTGAAGTAAAACAATATATGTCTGGGTGGTTTGATACTTGAGTCATGAAGTCACCATGCCTTGGCAGAGAATATTCTGTGATTTTCTTGGTGGCATGAAGGAAAGAAAGGGGCTCCTGGAACCCTATATGCCAATTGGGTTCATGTTTCTGGAGCTTTTGAAAGAATTCTGCATGTGTACATTTGTCCACCTTCAGTCTAATGTTGAACTGCTATTGACCAGCACGTTATTTGGCATCTGGAAGCACAAAATACCTGCACATTCTCAAAGTCCTTCATATGTTTGATACCCACAGGAACCAAACACCTGAACAGAACTTCTGTGTGTGCGTGTGCACGTGCAAAGAGCATGGGGAATATCCATTTGACTGTCTGATTGCTATGTTGTAATTTTGAAACCTCGATTCCAATAATTAGAAAAACAAAAGCCTAACTTTCTCACACTTTTCCCTGTTGAGATAGAGATAAGCAGAGGGGGAACCATAGAGGTTGCTTTATTGCTTTCTGGTCTGCCGAAGCCTTTCTAACAACATTAGCAATGAATGAGTTTTTGTGAAATATGTTCTCTGAGTAATATTTTAAGTATTGCTAATTCATTTGGAGGTGATTCAGTGATAACAGTAGATTCTTTCAATTATATTAAACTTTTGGCAATTGCATTTCATTTAATGAAATTACCCACTTAATGGTAAGAAAAAAAGAACTGATCTTGTGGACATACTGAAACAAATCAACACAAAGGCCTTTACAAATATTTCTTGAGATATTTCCTCTTGCTACTTTCTTGTTAAATCGTTACCAAAGGTGGTCTAGTAATCAGAACTCAGTGGAAACATTTGTTTTTGTATTCATGGCAGGAATATCAGTGCAAGAGTTATGTAGATGTTAACAAGAATTAGGAAAGATGAGTGATATTTGAACTCATTGAGGTTCTCTGATTCCCACCTGAATACTCATCTTACCTTATTCTTGCACTCATGTGTGTGCATCTTTTTATCTCTTTGAATGTGAATACAGTCTTGTAAAATTGCTAATATTCCCTGTGAATAGGACACACCTGTCTGATTTATGAACTGGAATGAAATTCTCATATATTCTGAGACTCAGTGTGGTATGGTGGTGAGAGTGTTGTAGGGGGGCGGATTTTGGAGATCTAGGTTCTAGTCCATGAAGCTCACTGGGTGATGTTGGACCAGTCGTAGACTTATGTAAGCTGCCTTGGCATCCTTGCAACAGGAAAAAAGGATATAAATGCCATGTAATGATGATGATAATGTAACTATTATATTGATAGGAACATCATTGCTGTAGCCATCAGAACAAAACTGTGAGAAAGGAAATGTGGCTTGTACACAGGGATGGGGGAATAACTTAGTTTAATTTGCATTTTTCATATCAAGAAGTGAATCAGAATGCAGTTCTCTTTTGCTATTCTTTGTTCTCTGGATTTTGCATCACATTTCTAGAACCCAAAGAAATGTGTAGCAAAATGCATCAAATAAGAGGAAAACGTGCAAGGAAATGAGTATGTTAGTGAAGGAAATATACAAATAAAACATTATATAAGAGAGAATTGCTGACAAAAATGTATATTACACAAATATGCATACATAAAATGTGTAATAGGCAAATATGTGCATAAAATATGTATTAGGACAATATAACAATGTGTAGATATTTCCATAATGAGTTTAAATAAATTGTTGTGAGCAACAAACAGGCCAAACTGAAGTCTAGGGGGAAAAAAAAAAGAGAGAGAGGGACAGAGATACCAAAACTTACAAATTTACTCATCCCTACTAGTGCCCCCTTTCCCCAGTTTTCCAGATTTCACCCACAGAGAAATGATGTCCACATTCTTTGAATGTGTGTACAGACATGCATCTCTCCGGATGAGATCTAGTAGCACGGAGAGAGGTGATACAATTTAGTGGGGGTAAGTGAATGCCATGATACTGTGGTGAGTGAAAAATTAATATTTTCAGAAGGAGCCATCTATTTCCCAGAGGCAGCATAGGATGGAGGAGCCCGGATTTATTTTTACTGCTTAAGTAAGGTCTCAACTGTGTTTAATGCTATGCTAAACAGTTTGCAATCATATCTAAGCCAGAAAACACCAGTAGAACATCCGAATCAGCTTGGAGTTATTAAACTATAGACAATATTCCTATTTTCCACCTTTCTTCTGCTCCCCTTCTCTTGGAAGCTCTCTCTACAGATGTACTTAAGAAGAAATTGGCTCAGTAATGCTTTATCACCAATACTCAAACCCGACACATTCACTGCATTCAGATATCACCCTTTCAATACCTTAAACTATGGTTTGTAGGGTGGGAAATAAACCCAAGTGAAGTCAGCTTTGTTCATTTACTATTGATTTGCTGACTTTAATTAATATGTATCGGGCATTACCCAGTGTGGGACAGTCCATCAGCTCTCATGACATTGTGCTTGCGGAAAAGACTGCTCATAATGTGGGAAAGAAGCACTTGCTAGAACAACCCAGGAAACTAGCCAGAATGGCCACTTCTGGAGTGGGGTGAGTCAGTGGAGGAAACCTACAGAAGCTTTGTTTTGTCCCATTTCAGAAATGGCCATTTTCTAGCTGCATTATCCTGGGTCAGTTCTGTCACTTATTCCTGCTGGCTGAGAAACAGCAATGAATCCTGCCCAGTGTGTTCAACTGCTCTGAAGATTATATTTTGGAAAAGCAGGCTAGAGATATTTGAAATGTTTTACATGTTTCTAGCATGATCAAACCTGTAGTTCATCATTTCACAAACAATGGTCTGAATGAGGATTTATAAAGTTATATTAAAATGTAGTTTGCAGTTCAGGTTTGCAGTGTTCCCTCCAATTACAGATTGACCATTCAGACATAATGATGGGCTGTGATTTGATCAAAATGACTCATTAAACCGAATTTGTAGGGGGTGAAGAAAATGGGAGCTAGAAAAAGAATGTGCCGGAACACAGGGCTTATCTCTAATCCTCTCTGATCATGCTTTGGAAGCAGCAGTGTGATATCTGAATGGAATTGTAATCTTTCTCCTAACTAGTACATGTTCTGCTGTAATTTCCTAACTAAAATTTGATGTTTTCAAACCATCTTCTACATAAAGTGAATTGTCTCTCCCACCCTCTTTTTTATTCATTTTGAAAAAGTGTAATTGTACATCCGCTTCAAAATATGTTTTTATTATTACGTGAATGCCCATACTATCCAATATGATGTATCCTGTTGCACTCAACCACCATGTTTATATAATTTTAGGTTTTAGAGAGCTCCAGCTTAGAATTCGTCCAGGCATTAATTATTCAGTACCAGTGTATGTAGCTAATATGAGCATTGTCCTGCTACATTTTTGTTGCTCCTTTGTGAGTAATTAACTTTTTATTGTGTATATTGTGCATTTAGGTTTGCTTCTTTTTAGTCAATGGGGAGAGGGAACATATTTAAGTTTACATTTCTCCAAAGGCTCAGTAACTCATTTCAAGACTTGTGGATTCAGCAAGCATCTTGAATGTCTTGTAAATGTTAACAAAAAGGAATGTCAAACTTATATAATGATGGGCACCTCATATAGGCAGGTGTTGATATTTACCTTGGGTATCTCTAATCACGCTGGTATACTATTGTGTTGATTTGACAGAGGGTCAAGAACCAAGCAGGGAATATGTAAGGTATCTTTTCATCTTCTGAAGAAGAGATGAAGAGCAATGGGAGAGGAGAAAACTCAAGGGTGGTCTTTAGGCAGAGGAGATCTCTAATGGGATTGGTAACTCCTTTCATTGCAGATTGTTCACAGAACATTAGCAGCAATGCTGGGCTCTCTGGCTGCCCTGGCTGCCCTAGCTGTGATTGGTGATGTAAGTAGCAAAATCTTATTTTCATTTTACACACCTTCTGTATACAGATTCTTAGTGCTACAAATAGCCTTGCTGTGATTAGCAGCAGTTTCTGAACATCTATGAAAAGTTGCTCATAACTGACTTTCAGTATTTAGTGGAGGCACTAGGATTTGTACATGAGTATGCATGCACCAACAGGGAGACATGAAATATTTTAAAGATATGTGGTGGTCCAGTGTTAAATTAAAAATTAAATTCAAAAAGTATCCGAACCCGAGAGAAAAGTGACGGTTGATGAGTATTATTGAAGGGTAGCACTAGAAACTCCCTGTTCTGGGCTCAGTGCCTTCAGCCTCAGTCTTGACTGTTTCCCCACCTTTCTCCCTCTGCTTGCTGTCTGGCTTCTCCCTCCACAGCCAAGCTTTGCCGTCAATGCATGGTAGGCAAGATTGTGCCATCAGTTGCTCAGTCTTTGGTCCTCTCCCTTCCTTATCAGTTGGACTTGAATACAAGAGGAGCCTTTTCTGAATGATCATTTGGCAGTCCTTGCACTGCCAGAACAATCTAGGACCCCTCTGTCCCATTTTTCTGCTTTGTGGAGTCTCACAGTCATTTCATCAGTTCTCCCTGTGGAGTTTTTAATATTGGCTATTCAGATGAGGGACAAAAATGTTTCAATATGTTGAAAGCCGTTGATAAATATACAAATCATGCCAAGGCAAGGCTTAGTAATCTGCTAAAGGAATACTTTATCTGCTCCTTGCAGAGTCATGGAAGAGACTGCAGAGGTTTCCTTGGCAGTCTGTTGATGAGGATGGTCCTGTTCTGTGTGGACCATGATTAGCCTTTGTAATGCTGCACCATGGTGAGAAGAAATCATAGAAGGGAGTGAGGAATTCATATGGGAAGGGGAGGGATCTCATGATCCCATAGTTAAAAGACTAGGAATAGCACAGTTTCAGGTGTTTTGAGGGTACTAGGCAAGATGGTCCAATTCCTCCTGCACCATCGTTGTCAGCAGCTGGTGTTGCTCCTCATCCTCGTTCTCATTGTTACTTCCACTGGCTTGCTTGACTGGCAAAGAGTTGATGAGCAAGTAAGTGGTGGCATCCAGTCTTCCTCATTTTCATCACCTCTAGGCCAGAGGGAGAGGCAGATGAATAAGCAGGTTGCAATGATGAGAGGAGGACCAAGCCCAGGAAGTTCTTAGTGGCCCCCTGCTCGGCTCTTGCAGGTGTTCAGTCGTTCCTGCTCTTGTTCTGGCCCTGTACCTGCACGAAAGAGTCTGTGGGAACAAAGTTCCCCAAACTGTGAGGCAGCACAGTGTCTGTATACATTTTTTACTAGACATTTCCTGTAGATCGCACTTTTAAGCTCACCTGAATCCCGCCTATGTGGGTGTTCATCTGTACACACACACGGACCTTATAAATTCAACGAAGGTGTGCACATGAGCCTTCTTCCTACGTATTCCTTTGTTTCTGGCTCCCTGAAAGAACTCTGTGGAGAGAGGTTGGAAGAAACTTTTGTTTGGGTGAATGCACTTTACAGGCCCCATTTCAGTCACAAAATGGCAGGTAGGGACACTGCTCACATGCATACTCACATCTGCACCCCTACTTTTTTATGATTCTTCTCATCATATTTCTCATTTTTCCCAGTTTTAGAATTGTTCTAACTACTTAACATGACACATCTTATTTCATCATTATTTGTTTTCCGGCGCCAGGCGAAGACCTTTTTATTTAAGCAGCATTTTAAATGTTAATATTATTAAATTTTATCTGGCCAGGGCGGCTTATTTTATATTTTATATTTTATATTGTATATTTGTATTTTATCTTAATGTATATATTTTAATGATCTAACTTATTGTTGTAAGCTGCCCCGAGGCTTTGGCGAATGGAGCGGCATAATAATGTTTTAATAAATAAATAAATAAATAAATAAATAAATAAATAAATCTTGCTGAAGCAGCTTAAATCCACCTTTTTCACCTCAGACTCTAAGTTCTTTAACAGTTCTTTAATTGTTCCTCTATGGATGTCTTCTGTAATATCCACAGGAAGACACTGTAGGATATTTTCTTGTCAGCAGAAAACCAAGTAAAGCACTTCGTAGTCCATTTATTTTTATAAAGTGGCAAATGATAATACTCATATATTACTTAATGCTGGTACCTTGTAAATGAACTCTTCAAATTGTTAGCGTTTTCCCAGGCTAATAGAGAATTTTCCGCTTTGGGTTCCTTGCAAAAAGTCTAATTAATTTTCTTCAAAGTACTTTTTAGCAGTACTCCTAACATCTCCTAACATTTGTTTTTTTTTTTAAAGAAATAAATGGAGTTTGCATTTCTAAAGCTAATGACTAGGTAGGAGATCCATGGGATTAAATGATAATTGCACTCTTTACTTGCAGAAGCCGAGCCTGGTCAAAGTAGTAGCATGGATAGATTATGAAACTCTGGCACTTTTGTTTGGAATGGTAATTAAAATCTTCTCTGTATATCTTGTACCCTAAACAGTCTGCAGTTTTAAAAACATAAAAATGGAATTCTTGTGAAAAGTTACAATGTACTGCTTTGGGGAACTAAAATTATATTGATTCCCTGTGAAGCTATTCCAATTTGGAAATTTAGAAAGCCAGGCTATCTACAAGTTGACAGGGATCTTGATTGAATCTGGGCAAATTCAAGGGTGTCCCATTGTAGACTAATTTTATCAGAAATATGCAATCTTCAGGACCTGGTCCATTGAACTTGGGACTAGGAGCAGGAGATGAACAAACCTACAAGTTTGCTAGAAAGATTATTTTATATTGCTGCCATTTTGGTCTAAAATTCATGGCCCTGGCCTGTTGGTGCTTCCAGATGGGGTTTTGATTATGTAATCACCCTGCCTCACCTGCAGTATTTTTATAGGGATTCCAGATATTTAAAACCATTCCTTGCTTACCTACTATTTGGCCATTTTTTTTCTTACCAGGAGAAAAACATCAGTTATAGAGGGAAAAGCCGAATGGCTGCACAATGCCTTCTGATTGATAGTGCTAGCAGTTTTCCATCTGGTAGTCTCTTGTTTTGCTACTGTGGTGTATTAGTGCAGATCCAAAGCAGAAATTCAAAGCTTGGGCTGCCTGCCTGCTGACTATAATGGGGAAATCAACAAATTGGGTGTAGTTTGCAGCACAGTAGTTTCTTCTGACGGCACGCAGACTGCCAATTTCAGACAAATACCTGAAGGTGGGTTGATTGCAACATCTCTTCTGCCTCTACATTTGTCCCCAAAGCACTGTGATTGGAAGTGAACACTGGAGAGCAGCCCTGGTATAGTCATTCCTGGACTGGAAGCTAGAGGTAGGGATGAAAGAACCTGGGCTTGAGTTTGCTGAAATTCTACAAACTTCACTTTGAAACTTGGTTTGGCTCACTCCTACTTTCATTTGCAACATGGTTTTTCATTCTTTTGCACATCTAACAAGGGAAAAGTGCACATTTGTGCACATTTTGCAAAAATGTACTTTTCCCCATTCACAGAAGTATGAACATGCTTAAATTCTACATGTCAAAATACAAATTAAAATGCATTTCTCAATTGTGATTGCGAGTTCAAGGATGTATAATTTTTAAATGTGCTCCCCATTGGAGTCATGAAGGGGCAAGTTGAGATGATTTGTGAACTGAATGGAAATTCTAATTCGCTCCTAACTGTGAGTCACAAAACTATCCCCTTCTCCCATTTTCCTTTTCCAGAGAGCTTGCCAGTGGGATGCTTAAAACTCTATCTATTTTGGGCTCAAACTAGCTATGCTTCAAAGCAGATTTGAAGCTTTGGAAACAGTCTGCTTCACTTTGGACCACTTGAGACAAGAGACATGTTGCTTTGCAGGCAGTCCAACTATCTCCAAAACTGGCTGAAATTTTGAACGTTGATCCTTCAAAAGATTGGGTGGGGGAAGGGTGATGGTGCATTCTTATTCAAAATAATTTCACTCATTGCAAGAGTTATTTTTGAAACTTCTCTTCTATAGATGCTTTTAGTTGCCATCTTCTCCGAAACTGGATTTTTTGATTATTGTGCAGTAAAGGTAAATCTGTTTTTATTTATTTATTTCTTAATGGCAGCAAATAAAAGAACATTTAAGACTTTTTCAGGTTAATTGCTTGCTTCAGCCTAGTTATACTTTGTATCTTATAAGTGATAGGTAAAGACTATGGGTATCTTCCTATGCCAGATGCCGGCTGAACTTCAGGAAGAACTTCCTGACTGTTCAAGCCGCATGCCAGTGGAACCAATTACCTAGGAAGGTTGTGGGCTCTCTCACACTAGAGGCATTCAAGGTGCACCTGGTTAAGCCATCAGGGATGGTTGGTTTAGCCTGGAGTCCTGCACTGAGCAGGGGGTTGGACCCGATGGTCCTCTGGCCTCTTCCAACAGCTGTTCTATGATTCTTGAGGTTAAGATTCTTCTCCACCCTACTGAAATTGCTAGTACTTAGGAGGACTCAGAGCTAAATGACACACCACATGAAATGTGTAGCATGTTGCGGATCCTAACTTTAATGTAATCATGGGTGTGGTCCAAAAGAAGAAGCTAGGATCACTTAAACTGGGGGTGCAGAAACTTTTTGCCCCTAAGAGCCAAATCACATTTTCTTGTGGGGGGGGGGTCCAGAAAACACTATAATGCATTGGAATACACATGCATGGGTTGGGGAAGACACATATATGGTGGTAGGGAGGTTCCCAATATGAGAAGGGAGAGGTGAGACACACACACACACACACACACACACGACAGGCTGGAGGACTGATGGGCCACCAGAAATGGATTGCTAGATCACAATTTTTGCACCCCTGACCTATATATTACACAAGTAATGTATATAATATAGTCTTTGAGGTCTCCTTCCCACATGACTTGGTGGCCACAGTGAATGTCTACAACTATCTGTACAGTGGCTTGTAGCCAGTCTCAGTTTCCTGCTTCACACCTCTCTGTCAGATACATATTAGCAACATTTTATGTATGCTAATAAAATGCAATGTTAGGCATGGCCTGCTTTACTCACACTGCACTTTAGGGAAATCTGTCTCAGTCAGTATAGTCATCATTTTCAAATAGGCACATGGGATTCATTTTGCTCTATCATGTCATGTTCATTTGCCAGAACCCCAAAACATGTGAGCAGACAAAATACCGCAAGGTGAACTAGTTTAGTTGAAAATTGAAATATACTTTTTTAAATCTTCTCTTTACAACCAAACTAAGTGAGGCTCATGCACATCATAATATACCATTATTCAGTGTTAAATCTGAATCTAGCTGCTGTGACTCACTCTTAGCTGTATTTACACCTAAATTCTGAGTCCCCTTTACCTAAGGGATCTTATACTGCAAATAACTGGAAAAGCCTGTAAGAGCAACGGTAAGAACAATGAAAGGTGGTACTTGATCTCTGGGCAATGTTGCAGGCCCCCCTCTCAGAAAAACTACAGAGGGAAAGACATGAAAAGTTGTTGCTATAAGGTCCCTACATCTGTTCTGAATGGAATAAAACTCCCTTCTGAGCTTCCTGGCACACCTGTCGCCAAGCTGTAGGCCCAGGAGGGACAGCCTGCAAGATAAGGCTGACTCCGGTCTTCAGAAATGCAAGGTTTTCCCCAGCCCCCAGCTCAGGAAACCAACAGATGCATCTTGCCCAAGCAATAATTCTCCATAAATTAGCAGAACACTGAATATGCCTCTTGATTTGAAGTGGTGCCCCACATTAAATTGTTCACCAAGTGCTGCTGCGTTGTTAATCATTGCATTCATCTTCTTTACCAATTGCATTACCTTTTCTCTGTGTGTCTATTCATTAGGCTTACAGACTCTCCCGAGGCAGAGTGTGGGCCATGATTATCATTCTTTGCCTTATTGCTGCAATCCTGTCAGCCTTTTTGGATAATGTTACGACCATGCTCCTCTTTACTCCAGTGACCATAAGGTACATTTCATTTTTCCGTAACATGTTTTATTTATATTTATTGTGTTACATTTAGATACTGTACTTCCCTCTGGACAGCTCAAAGTTGATCTCACAAAAATCATCAGCAGCACCACAATTTATTTCATTTCTGTACCACCCAAATAGTCAAAGCTCTCTGTGCAGTTACTGACAATTCATAATTTACTGATAACTCTGTGCAGTTACTGACAATTCACAGAATGCAATAAAATACAGAATAAAATAAAATACTGCAAAATGAAAATGAAGTTAAAAACTGTATTTCAATACAAAATACAGAATTTAAACCAATTTATACAGCAAAAGCAGTTTGATATGGCTAGACCTGTTACAAGAAAAGGCAACTGACAGAAGCTGCCTATATGCTGTTAAAAACCATTGAATGCCTTGGCATAGAGGGCAGTCTTACCCTAACACAGAAAGACAAACAGAACGTGTGCCAGACAGGTCTAAGTGGGGAGATCATTTCATAATCGGGGGGCTACCACTGAGCAGACTCAATGCCTTGTTGCCACCTTCTGAGCATACCTTGGAGGAGGCACTAGGAGGAAGATAATGAGCAGCAAACGGACACAAACGTGGAAATAATAAAAATGCAATAAAATGCAAACAGAACATCCACTGTGGAATGTTCCTGTCCAGTGGGCCAGTCTGCCAACCATACATTCCTCCACCATATTCCATACGATTCCTCTTCCCACCCAGTTTTTGCATTTCCTTCCCAACAGTTGGTCTTTACAGTGGTTTCACACCTGAGTATTTTCTCCTTCTGTAAAGTTTGGGGTTCCTTGCAAGGTTACCGATATCTCCTTCTTGCAGTACCGTTATTGTTACATGGAGAGCCATACTTATTTGTGGGCTTCAGAAAAGTAGGGAATGATAACAGATTCAGGGTAAAATATGGCACAATGATGGAAATGCCAGTGATGACAAGCTCCATTTGTAGCAGGAACATCGCACTGAGGGACAGGTGCCTTAGCTTGAATTAGATGAAAACCATCTTCCATTAGAGCTGTCATTTGCCTTGTTAACAAATCATCCTGGGGGGGTGATTTTCATCTGAGAAAGTGCTGGAAGAACTGGTTACATGCGTCTGCCTTGGTTTGGCTCCGCTGAGGTTTCTATTTGCTAAAAGATAGAACTGATTCTTGATTGGGAGATCTCCAATATTTCCTTCTATTTTGCTTTCAGTGGCAATTGAAAATTTAATCCAATGTATCAGCCATTAGTACAATTCAGAAAATACCTTCTAAAGATTAATATTACTGTTTGCTTCCATCCTTTTGGCAAAGAATGTTCAGTGCAAAGCAGGGATATAATGACTCTACAGAAGATTGGTGTATGAAAACATTGTTTAATAACTTGTCTCCTTATGCATTTCACTTTGGGTTTGAAGTATGTTCACCCAGAAGTGGATCAATGGCTATCCGTTCTCCTTAATTATACTGTCAGCCAAGAGCTTCATTGTCATGTAGCAATTTTCAGTTTATTTGGCTTGATCAGAACTGTATTTTGCACATTTCGCTTCCTAAACTATACTTTGTGGCTCAATACTTTTAAAAAGCCTGTAGATATTTGGATAGCAATTATAGTAGAAACTGATGAAAGGTCCTGCTGAAGCAGTCTTCTCGAATAGCGATCATCATTCCCTACAACATGAAAGGCTGCTACTTTTGGATGAAATGAGTACACTTATCCGTCTGTATCCAAGTTAATGAAATTGTTACTGTTGCATGTATTTTGAAATGCATCTTCACAGAGCACAAATAGCAGCAACTTTTAAAGTATAAATACTAATAGAGAAGTTGAGTGACCTGTAAATCAGTTAATTATATTTTCAGTGACTTCCTATTTCTGGAACATTATGAGTTTTGCTAGTCTTAGATGATGATGATGATGATGATGATGATGATGATGATGATTTGTTGTTGCTGTTGTACTTTATCATACTGACTTGTTTGTCTTGAGCTGGCTTCATCCTTGGGCTTAAAAAATCCCCCACTGCATCTTGTTTCAGAGAGATCTTAGAAAAGAAAACTGTATCTGTTGTAGGTGGCTCAATGATCTATCAATCACTTTATTCTCCTCTTTTCTGCCTTTTATTTTAAAGTTGCAAATGTAGTTCCTGACTCTATAGGCCAGGGGAGGCATTTGTTCCTATGGCAGCTCCTTCTGCCTATGGGGAATGAGAACTGGAATGGGAAAGGGAGTTGGAACAGGAATGGGACCTGATTTTTCTGAACTTTTTTTCTGAGAATGCTCTGAAAAGACCAGGCCCATTCAAGACCCAAGGAGATGGGCTTAGGTGTCAGTACTGAACCTACCAGGAGATTATGGTGGCCACTCATGGACTCTCAATAAAGAAGATGTGCATCACCAACAAAGAGGTCAAAAAAGGGTGCCAGTTGGTCTATGCTAATATATATGATGATACAGATTTAGAAATAAAGATTATAATTTAAATAGAATCCAGTTCATCACATCAGAGCGTGAACGACAGCGGCATGGTGAATGGTGGGTCTGGCTGAGTTGGCTGTCTATGTGCAGTTGACAGGTAACTTCAAAGCCAACCTCTCCCTTGTGGTGGTTCTTTACTTTTAAATCCAACTTGGACTGGACAATCCTTCTATAGCAGACTGCTTTAAAATTCAGGACAGTCTTTGGTAACTACTCAGACAGAGAATTGTCCTTTATAAAGGAGAACATACAGCTATAGCAGCCTTAAACTGCAGCTCTCTGTAACTGAGAAGTTTGTCTATGATGGCTTTTGCAAATGTATTTTGTTGACATCACCCACATTTTGTCTCATATATTTTATTTCTCTGGAAGGCTGCATAGGGCAGCTTGGACTAAAAGGATCCCAATGATAATTTGTAAGCTATTCACACCCAATGTACTGTGCATGAATCTGTGCATCTTCTAACATAACTGAATTAATAACAGTTGCCTTATGGATATGTAAAACATAGGAACTCCAGATATACATAGATCTCATCCTAATACCCCACCTGCCAGCCTGATCAAGGTTTTAAAACCTCCCTCCCTCTTCAGGTACCATATTTAACGGAGTGCCTTTAAGCATGTAAAGTGAGCCATGAGAAATAATCTGTTGATCTCTACATATGGAGCATGGACACGAGTTCAAAGGAAGGTCAGCCACAGGGCCTCTCATTTAGCGATTAAGCCAGCCTACATAATGAGAGCCCTTGATTTAATGAATGTTTTTTGAGAGAATCCATATGTACCCATTGTCAAAGAACAACTAAGCAAGTGAAAGAAAGCTTTTCAAGTTCCTGGAAACACATTCTTCTAGATGCATTTCTGTATTAAAATCCATTCATCTTCTCGAAACCCAAGCAACTCCTGCCCTTGTTATCAAAATAGCTATTTCATCTATGTGAACAAAGATAACGGCTTTATCCATCCAGTGGTATTTGGATACTAGCAGAATGAATACCATTTCCCTGTAGCTCTTGTGGCCACCCAAACTAATCTAGATGGTTGAGGGATCTTCCAGAGCATATTTCTGGGCTACAGAGGAAGGAGAAGTCCTATTCCAGAAACAGAAGTCTACTTGTGTGTAGACCAAGGTTTAGATTTGAACAAGGTCCACCAGAACTTAGAGATAGGACTGAAATTTTTAGGGACTTTAGACAACAGCTCCTATCACCCACAATGGATCATTCTGACCAGGGATGATGAGAATTGTATCCAACATACCTATACGGTGCCAAGCTGAAAAAGGCTGTTCTAAAAAACCATCCTGCCTGTTGGTTTGTATTATTTATTTATTTAAAACATTTCTATGCCGCCCCCATCGCAACAAAGCCTCGGGGCGGCTCACAACAAAAACAAAAACATACAAAATCATACAAAAATTATACACTAAAAATATTAAAACCCGGTGCATCTCGGCTTAAAATTTTTTAAAAATCCTACATAATAAATTAACACTTAAAATAAGTTTTAAATAAAAAGATCTTAGCCTGGTGCTGAAAAACAAATAATGATGGCATCAGGCAGACCTCTCTGGGGAGCGCATTCCATAGGTGGGGCTGAAGACTGGTTTATTCACTTCTTTTACCTCTTTGATGAGGTTAAGCTCCATCTTCCAGGCCCTAATGGTAACGCTTCCCTTGGTGAAATGTGTATTGATCATTTGCTTGATGAGTCTATTTACCTGATAATAATTTAGAGGTGCTGACATTTTCCAGACACTTTGGCATGCCTTAAAAAATCCATTGTTGGTTAAATATGCAGAATTTAATTTTTTTAAAGTCTGGATTTGTATCCTGGTGCATTTCCCTTCCTGTCTTGCCCTGTTGTGTTAGTTGTTCACTTTATTTTGCTGCTGCCTTTAGGCTTCCTCAATCCAATTTTAAAATGGTGTTGTAAGCTGCTATTACCATGGTGATGAAGCTTAGTAACAAATTCTCCTGATTCCTTAACAATAGGGCTTTAGTTTTTTTTACCAGGGATGCATGTAATATGATATTATTTTCTTGTCACATTTACTGGTAAACTCAGTATTTTTTGGAAAAAGATAGTCCATGGCTTGTATTTTAAACTGTTATTGTTAGACTAGCTCATTTTCACTTACATTTTTGCTTCTGCATATGAATAATGGTAAATCTGATCTAAGCATGGATCCATAAGTTTCCTAGAGCATCACTTAACAGTTTACTGATCCCTTCATTATCATTGATTTTATAGACCCTGGAGGGCAAAATCACTTGCAAAATATGCATTATGTGCTCTATTAAATGGTCTATGATTTCTTAAAGAAAATAATATCATTTTATGAATAATTATTATCACTTCATTGAGATGTTCTACAATGCATTTACATGTAGATATTAATTAACATTAGAGCTCTACTGTGACATAGTGGTTAAGAGCGAGGACCTGGGACTGAGGCAATCTGGATTCTATTGCCACTCCGCCATGGAGCCAACTGGGTGACTTTGGGCCAGTCACAGATTCTCAGCCCAACCAACCAGTTGTTGTTATGGGGATAAGTTTGGGAGCAGGAGGAGGAAAGAGTTCTTTCCTCCTGTAAGGCAAAATGCAGGATATAAATCTAATAAATAAAAAAATAAGAATATACCAGTTTTCATTTGAATAAATCTTGAGGTAGTTTTCAGTTTCAGTTCAAATTATTCTTGAAGTAATGTAACAAACAGCAAGATATTGTTGGACTTCAACCTCTGCCAGCACCAGATGGATTTCAAAAACATATGAACTGCATCAAGTTGCCCATCCCCCCCGCTTCTCCTCCTCATCATCATGACTGGACGTTATGTTCACATGACTCCAGTTCTCTGTCAGCTTCACTGGCTCCCCATTGAAGTCCGGGCCCAATTCAAGGTGTTGGTAATGACCTATAAAGCCCTAAACGGCTTGGGTCCTGGTTACCTGAAGGAGCACTTACATCCATATATGCCCAGTCGCCCCCTGAGATCGGCGGGAGAGGCCCTTCTCCGGGAGCCCTCCGGGAGAGAAATTAGGAGGGTGGCTACTCGGAGGAGGGCTTTCTCAGCAGTGGCGCCTAAGTTATGGAATGCGCTCCCCAGAGAGGTCCGCCTGGCACCGTCGTTATTTGTTTTTCGGCGCCAGGCAAAGACCTTTTTATTTAAGCAACATTTTAAATGTTAATACTACTGAATTTTATCTGGCCAGGGCGGCTTATTTTATATTGTGTGTTTTAAATTATTATGTCTATTTTATATGTATATTTTAACTTATGTGGTTTCATTTATTGTTGTAAGCTGCCCCGAGGCTTCGGCGAATGGGGCGGCATAAAATGTTTTAAAAGTAATAATAATAATAATGTCGTCATCAATAGTAGGAGCTGTTACACACACTAGCAGCTATAGCTACCTTATTATTCTCATATATGAATATTTTAGGACGAGAGGGATTGAGAGTGCATGACAATTAAAATTAGTGAGGAAATGATGCGTCTATAGATGTCTAGTGATTTAATTGCTGAGACTGACACTTGAAATAAGGAGTATTGTAGAGCACATCCTTGGCATACAGAAGGTCCAGGTTAGAATTTCAGCGAAATTCTCTAGTTTGGCCCCAAAAGATTTTGTCCTCTCCTAGCATCAACTCAATCTACGGTGAGTGAATCCAATATACAGCTTCTATTAAAAAAAACAAAAAACTAATAGCAATTTGTTCCAATTGGATAGTTTTTTTTGGAGAGGGAAGATAGGGTATATTTTGAAATTTGCACAACTGTCAATTTCCCTGCCCCCGTTTGTGGTGGAAGTCCCCAGATGGTGGATGAAATTGACAAGTTCTTTAACAAGTAGAATATGGCTCCATCAGGCTAAATAAGGTAGTGTGCAGAGAAGATATTATGTTATGTTATTCGCGAAGTCATGCCTAACTCATTGCAACCCCATGGACAACATTCCTCCAGACTCTTCTATCCTCCACCATCCCCCGGAGTCTCCCTAAGCTCACACCGACTGCTTCCCCAGATGTCAATGTCTTTACAGCATCGGACTCTCCTTTCACCACCAGATACATCAGCAACTGAGTGTCCTTTCGGCTTTGACCCAGTCGCTTCATTCTTTCTGGAGCTACCAGTACTAGCCCTCTGCTCTTCCCAATAGCACATTGGACACCTTCCAAACTGAGGGGCTCATCTTCCAGCGTCATATCACTTTGCCCTTTGGTACTGTCCATGGGGTTTTCATGGCAAGGATACTGGAGTGGGTTGCCATTTCCTTCTCCAGTGGGATCACCTTTTGTCAGAGCTCTCTGCTATGACCTAACCACCTTGGGTGCCCCTGCACGGCATAGCTCATAGCTTCATTGCACTACACAAGCCCCTTTGCCACAGCAAGGCAGTGATCCATGAAGGGGTAGAGAAGATGAAACTGACACATATTTACAAGATGGTACTATGCCTTTGCAGGGCTACATAGCAAGCAGGTGGGCTTGCAAGGGTGTGTATTTGCAGGCATGTGCACTGCACAAGATCACCAATACAAATTATTAAAAATTGCAACTCCATTTTCATGAATTTCAAGACATCCCATTAAAAAATATCATTTTTATCCAAATTACCATTTGTACAAATAACAGAATGACCCAAAATGTACAAACCTTTCTGGGATCAAAAAGGAAAAAAAAATGCTACTAGCTGCTACCACTTACCTGGGTAGAAACATTGCTGATTCTTATTGGGCTTAAATAGAATGGAATTCCCAGGTTAGTCCTAGTCAATTCCCAGGCATCACCAGTTTAAAACAATGACATGGTGATTGTAAAGATATGTAGAGGAGATCTGGAGGTTAACTGCCACTCTGGAAGGGTTCTTGGACAAATATTCTAGACCTTTTGCTTTAATCAAGGGAATGTTTGCATACTAGTGATCCTAACCTTTGAAATATGTTAGTTGAGAGCTGGGGAGAAACAAAAAAATAAGGGCAGGGAGAGGCAAGATGACTAGTTTAGAGTCAGAGTCAGAGACAGACCCAGACACAAGAAATGCCCAGGCAGATAGAAGGAAAAGAAGTGAAAGTTTAAGCAGGTATATGCCTTTTGTAAATTCCATAAAAGACCCACTCAAAATAAATTTAGGACTAATTTCCTGTTAGCCTTGAAAGATCAGGTCTGTGCACCAAAGCTGTAATCTATTCTTAAATGGGACTATTTTGTAGATGTCTCCTTTATGATAAAAGATTTAAATTGAATAGGATGTGTGCATGTGTACATGAGCATGAGGCAGAGTGTTTACTTTGTTCAATTACAAACACTTTGTCTGCTTGTTGTACAGTTTGAACTTTAACTTCCCCTGCCAATGTTTTCAGAAACGATCAACTGGTGAAGCCAATGTGGTCTAGGAGCAGTGAGTTGCACTGAGACTCAGATCTAAGCTCGCCATGAAGTGTGCTGGGTGACTTTAGGCCAGCCACTGCCTCACAGGAAGAGGAAGGTCATCTAAGCCACCTTAGGTTTCTGGGAAGAGAAAAGAAGGAAGGTATAAATGTATCAATACACATATAAGCACCTAACTTAATTTCCTCTCTGCAGGTTATGTGAGGTGCTTAATCTCGATCCCAGGCATGTCCTGATTGCTGAAGTAATCTTCACAAACATTGGAGGAGCTTCTACAGCTATTGGGGATCCACCAAATGTGATTATTGTTTCAAACCAGGAGCTCAAGGAGGTGGTAGGTATTGCTTTCTGTTACATTAATGAAAGAGAAGATGTTGCTATATTCACTAATGCTCATCTATTCTTCCAACTGGGTGGCAGCATGAAGGATGATATACCTGTTCTGGCTTTGTTACATAGAACCAGGTGTTACTGTTTTGAACTGATTCTGTACAGAATAATGGCAATTTGAAGAGGGTAGGAAAAGGTGCCGAAAGGGCAATGGAAATGACCAAGGGACTGGAGTAACTCCCTACAGGAACAGGTTGCAAAGGTTTCAAGGGTAGGACTATTTAATTTAGAAAAAAGGTAAATAAGGGGAAGCTTGATAGAAGTGTACAAAATATGTATGGTGTGAACGTACTGGATAGGGAAAGGCTTTCCTCCACCTCTCATAAGACCAGAACCTGTTTATCTAATAAAGCTGAATGTCCAGATGGATAAAAAGAAGTACTTCTTCCAGCAGCACATAGTTAAACTATGCTGGAAGTTAAACTATACTAAACTATGCTGCTGGAAGGTATACTGATGGCCGCACATGTTGTTGGTTTAAAAAGAGGATTAGTCAGAATTATGGAGGAAATGGCTGAGGCCCTCAGTGGCTACCAGTCATGACAGCTCTGTGCTACCTTCAGTGTCAAAAGCCATATGCCTGTGTACTCCCGTTGCTGGGGAACTTAAGCGGGCAGCATTGGACTCAAGTCCTCTTTGCTGGTTTCCCACAGACATTTGGTTGGCCACTGTGAACAGAATGCTGCACCAGGTGGGTCATTGCTCTGGCCCTGCATGGCTCCTATACATCAGAATATATGCAGTCACAATTAAGCTTGCCTCTCATCTTTGGTGTTGTTATCCTATTTATTATAAGCAACTCTGTGCAGTCTAGGGGTGAAGTCTTCCCCAGTGCACCATGGGTGACATTCCCATGACTCTAAAAATCAGGATGTCGGTGGGGGAGCTAGTTTTGTACATTAAGCATTTATTTACTACAGAAGCTTACTTTATCCTGAAAATGAGCTAAGTGTTGGGGTCAGTTCTGGAACAGGGGGCTGGTGTCTGTGGCTGGAGCACCAGGCCAAAGATGAGGGTGAGCAACGGAGATCTTGGTGTGATGCAGCAGGCCTAGAGGCAAAGGCCAAGTCAGGAGTACGTCAGGGTCAGATGCGAAGTCATGGCAGAGGCGGTAGCAAAGGCAAGGACCAGAGGCAAGGCGAGGTAAGATACTTACTGGCAAGGTGAAGCAGGGGCAGGAGCAAGGCGAAGTCAAGACCCCAGGTACCTGCCAAGGTAGGGTTGGGCAGAAGGCAAGGGCAGGCACAGTCAAGGACAACCAAGTCTAGGCTTGGGACTGGGAATACCATTTAGCCAGCCAAAGTTGTCGTGGCAAAGCTGAGGAGTGCAAGGAAGACTTTTATAGGGCTTTCCAAAGCTCGCCGGTGTGCTCCATGATCACACGGGCTTGCAAATACCTGCAGGTCTCATCCTGCTCTTGCAGGCACTTGCGCAGGGAACCAGGCTGCCTTTTGCAACTCCCCAGGGAGTTGTGTCCCAGCTTCAGGATTCGATGAATGTTGTCTGTTCCAAGCTGTTGTTGTTAGAACGGATAAGGAATCTGTTTTGTGGGGGAGTGGGATTCCCTGGGATCAGCTCCCCAGATTTTGGTCCACTTCAACGTGGCTGTGAGTCCAAGTTCCAGGCCAGTGGACTCAGAATTGGGCCCCTGTGTGAGCCCTGCACAGGCAGCATCTGCCTTCCATATCATGTGCATCAGCCTTTGTGCTGGATGGGATGCAGAAGAAGGTTGCAATCTTCATTCTGTGAGTGCTTGCAGACTTCTTGGCTTGGCTCATTTTCTAAGGCAGGGCTGAGCATGAGAGGAGGTCTGGGAATGCTAGAGGGATGGATTATGTAATGGTTTTGCATGAACTTTTGCAGGCTTATTGCTACTTTTCAAAAAAGAACAGAATTAGGAGTGGCTGGGGCTGTATGTGGGACTCAGGCAATGTATTGTCCCTGCCCCTTGCTGTAAAAGGATGTAATTGTATGCATGTTTACCTGTGAAATGCACTTTCTTTTGAGTAAACCTGCATAGTATTGCACTGCACATGGTGTGCATTATGGGATTGGGTACAGCGGCTTTCTGGGTTTGCTTGTTTGTGATTTTGACATCTAGTCAAGTAGGAGTTTTAGTTTAATTCACAAATTTGCCACCTTAATTTGCCCTAAGCTTTGCATGTACTATTGACATGGCAACTATTTTGCAATATAACTTTCCCATAAACATCAGGCAGCCTATACTGGGTTCACATACACCAAGTGTGGGTGTTGTGTATCATCAGCATTATAAGTAGCCATTACTTGCATTCTCATAGACAGGAACCTTTTCTTTATTGCCACATCCTGAACCCAGTGGTTGCTGAGGGGAACATTTGTTGCTGTTTTGGGATTTCTCTTTTTTGTTTCCCATAGTTGAGACTTGCATAATATATGGAATGTTAATGTTTTTCCTATTTGCTTGAGCATATGCCTTTTCTTAACATTTGAAACATGCCCTGCAACTCACCAAGAATTGTGATGGTATGAGCAGCTTCTCAAAAAGTGTCACCATGGCATGGGTAGTTTTGCTGGCCACTGTGGCTTGTGGCAGCGTTCAGCAGAGCTCCCAATGAGTTTGCGTAGGGTCATCAATGGCTTCTAGTCCTAATGGCTATATGCTCCCTCCAACCTCGGAAGCAGTATGCCTAGGTGCAGCGCTTGTTGGGGAGCATGGGTGGGAGGGTTCTCCAGTGCTCAAGCCCTGCCTCTGGGTTTCCCATGGACATCTGGCTAGGCAGTGATGATCAGAATGCCAGCTAGGTGGACCTTGGTCTGGTCCAGCACAACTCTTTTTATGTTCTTGTGCCTGGTGCTGGAAGAGTATATTGCCTCCTTTTATTTCCTGGGCAAAATTCAAAGCACTGTCCACGGAGAGCTTTGATCCAGTCTCCAGTCTCCTTTCAAATGAACAGTTCAGACACTTGTTTTTGGAGAGGACTTTTCTTGGGTCACACCTGGCGACGGTGACACACGCGCTGGTGACTTCCCGCCTTGACTTCTGTAACACGCTTTACGTGGGGCTTCGCTTGAAGACGGTCCGGATACTTCAGTTGGTTCAAAATAGAGCTGCCAGGTTGCTGACGGGGACGGGGCATTATGTTCACATGACTCCAGTCCTCCGACAGCTTCACTGGCTTCCCATTGAAGTCCGGGCCCAATTCATGGTGTTGGTGATGAACTATAAAGCCCTAAACAGCTTGGGACCTGGTTACCTGAAGGAGCGCTTACATCCATATATGCCCGACCGCCCCTTGAGATCTGCGGGAGTGGCCCTTCTCTGGGAACCCTCCGTGAAAGAAATTAGGAGGGTAGGTACTTGGAGGAGGGCTTTCTCTGCGGTGGCGCCCAATCTATGGAATGTGCTCCCCAGTGAGGTCCGCCTGGTGCCGTCATTATTTGTTTTTCGGCGCCAGGTGAAGACCTTTTTATTTAAACGTCATTTTAATTGTTAACAATATTTACTTATTTATCTGGCCAGGGCGACTTCTTTTCTTTTCTTTTCTTTTCTT